CTTCTTTGCAGCTACTGATCTGTTTGTTTGCGCGTTTCGATCATAACATATTTTCTTTATACTCGCGCTGCATTTTTTTTATACGTACGCTGCATGGCATATGGTTTATGTTTTTATCGGGACAGTGGAAAACGAAATATAATTCTGATCGCACGTCGGGTGGTTTAATTCGGAATCGAAATTAACGTTCGTTTGAAATGGGACGCGGCGTAACCATCGCGCGCGCAAATCGTCTTCTCATGCTTTTGTATCGTGATCACGCGAAGTGCGCGCAACATGACGGATCAGCGGCACGACAAAGGGTCAGTGATTTGAGAATTTTCATCACGAAACGAAACGCGCACAGGAAATATCTCAACGTTTTTGCTTTCTCGTGTAACGGTGCAATTTCCAATCGATTGCTTTTTTATTCACTCCTTTTTTTTCTCTTTTTCTCATTTTCCTCTTCTTTTTTTGAAAGAGACATGCCGAATGACAAGTCCACCAGTTACTGCAGTGCAATTTAATATCACGGATAATTTTCTCTTTACAATTAATTTTATTGATATTATTACGATTAATATCAATGTTTTATCGCTTATATTGAGACAGTTCTGCAAACTGTAGACTGTGTAGTGCGACTAGTGCGAGTAACATCGATTAAATAATACAACAGGGAATCACAATGCACGCGTCATACCTGCGCGTGGAAACATTATTGTTGCCCATTACTAAATAATCGCAACGCACCAGAGTCTTCACGAGGTTATGTGCTCCTATTCATGCCGGTGTTATAAGTCAACGTCTGACACTAACTGTATATAACATTGCTGCATTATCGGCTCGCGTTACTTATGATACGATGACAGAACACCTTATGGCGCTTGGCAGTCTAGGAACGACTGGAAGATAAACGGAATATTTCCAAGCAACCGCGCGTCGATAAAGAGCCACAAAAACAAATCCAACTTAAAGGATATACAACCTAATATTAAATAATATTATTTCTCATTTGAGTAAAAATTATTACTATTGTAAGTGTATACATATAACAGTCTTTAACATAGGTATGTATATTAGTATATAAGAGAAAGTATTCAATTTTGAACTCATGTAAAATCAATTCAGGAAATTAAATAATAATAGTAATTGATTTACAGATCTGTGAATTGAAAAAAATTTATCAATTTGTATAAATGAGACCTGATTAATGAACTTTTTTTTTGTCAACTGGAACATTTTTTAAACAATAATCCTACGGTTTGGAGTAAATAATTTAGCTAATATAAAGCAAATATATTACTTTGGTAATATAAAAAATATATAAATAAGTACCATGTTTATAGAAACTTTTAAAAAACTATTTAAAAAAAATAACATATTGGCACATCTTCCGTAGTATGTAAGGTACGTTTCTGCAACTAAATTTGTTTAAGTGAATATCATTAAACAACAATGTTGTTATTAAAACCGACGTCCTAATAAATTGTCTTAATAATAATTGTGTTACGATCTCACTTAAAACTATTATTAATATTTTAATTGTCGCTTTGACATCAATTTGATGAGTCATTTCTCGATAGGTAGCGCTACATCATATTATCGTATGTACGTGTGCAGTATTTTATTAGCTAATTATTATTAATTCATTATTTAATCGTTTAAGCAAATCAAAAGAAAACTCTTTTTCATCATTTGCATTTAAATCCGTTAAAGATTTTAAATAAATATTGTCATATACGATCAATATCAAATAGAAAATAATCATTTAATGGATGCAATGTCCATAAAATTACTAGTAAAAATGTAAAAACTAGTAAAACTAGTAAAAAAACAAAATTTTGAAAAGTATTCTGATATGCTATATTGGATCTTTATTTTTTAAAGCAATAAACTCGATCTCGCTAACAAACTTCTTATTCATCAAATAATGATTGTAAAACAAAAATGCAATCAATTTTTTGTTGATGAATACCATGGAATTAAGAAATTGTGCAATTTTTGAGACAGATAAACTTGGTTTCGCTGACAAACTCTTTAACCATTAGATAATGATGGCAAAATAAAAATGCTTATCAATTTTTTATTTGTCAATACCAGGAGACTAAGAAATTGCAAAGTATTAAATAAAATAATGCAGATACACGCGTGCAATTGCATGCGACCGTAATTTTATTTTACTCACTACGCTTGGACACACCGTTCTCTAAAAGTGAATCAGTGGAATCACCACTGATTTTCAGTATACTTATAACTGTGATAAACAGTGAAGTTTACTGTCTTTTAGTGATATTCACTGTTTGAATCAGTGTAGTATATCAATGCAACAACATTGAAATACTTCACTGTTTATCGCAGTTAAGTACACTAAGAATCAGTGATGATTCACTTTTAAAAAGAGTGTAGCGTGAAATAAAGAAAATGTCCAATGCTCAAGGCGTACATTCTTCCGAAATTTCTATCCCGGCTGTTAAATGAGGCCTCTGCCGCGAGATAAGGTGACTCCAAGTAGAGCGTTTCTAAATGTAGATGTCGATTATGGCAGATCGTTTAACATTAAAATTTCGCGAATAAAGGTCGCCAAGGCGTGTTTATATTTATTTGTATGTTTTGCGACGTGCGCTATTTATTTGGAATTAATTAGCAACCTAAGTACAACAGCGCACTTGAATTCGCTGCAAAGTTTATTGCAAGTATATATAATATTTTTTAAGATTAGGATAGCATTATAAGATACGATAGAAGATCGTGGCGCAAAGTTGTGCGTATGCTTTATGTGCCGAAGACCCGAATTTAAATCTAACCAGAAACATTAAATTTTGATTCAATCGGCACCGCCATGGTAAACCACCGAGAGTATGTCTTACCATGAAAACTCTTCTAATTATTAAGGCCGTTAGGAACTGACGTTAAACTATAAGTCCTGTATATCTGCGTAAATTCTAAATATCGCACACCGCAGGGACAAGAGTAGAAGAATTTAGAAGAGAGATAAGATACAAAAATCATTAAGTCCATATAGCAACTAAGTATTTTCCATTAACTCATTAGGCTCAAAAGAGTTTTTTCTAAGAATTTTACATTTTTTTTAAGCGATTATAAATTTCAAGTGTTTTTCAATGACTTATTAGCCCTAAAATTTTTTCCTCTATTTTTAAGTATAAATAGAGACTCTCTGACTGCAGTGGCAGTTTGTCGAGTCCCTTACAAGTAAGTACTAGCATATAAGTCATGTACGCGAGTAAGTTGTAAATAGAATCATTCTATAAGATTGTCGAATAAAGTTATTTCTATGTACGATATTAATTCTCGCGAGTTTTACAAGATGTCACTTTTCATTAATAACTTTTCGCTCTCGCATCGTTGACTTAAGAAATCTCGATCATCGTGAAGCAGAGAGTATCCTAGATAGTATAATATTTAACCAATTTTTAATTAAGTGTATGTAATATCAAACTGTCTAATAAAGAACTGAGTGCATATACGTGTTTGATGCTGGTAACGATCGTGTTCAGGTGTGAAGCATACATGATACACAGTATACTATATGTGGAAAATAAAAATAAAATGCTGCTTTTTTTCTTTTAATAACCGTAATTATTTATAAATTGACATCTAATTTTAATTCTATATTATAATACGTTAATTTAAAGTTGATCTAAAATTAGTTTTTATGATTTTTTTTTTTTATTTCAAGTATATAATATTAGTATTTATTATTTGTTATATTGCAACTACAATTTTAGCAATAATCCATTAAAATTAATTTCTGCTGTTGTAATATGTTTTAAGAAAATTTAAGACAAAATTTTTGAAGAATTACGATCGGTACACAGAAAAGAAATTTTTTTAGAACTTATACTAAAAATAATAATCTTCATAAAAAAACATATTTCAGAGATTTTTGTAATTTATTGATATCTGTCACAATAAAATGTAAAATATCCTTTGATTAAAAATTTTACTGAAATACACAATAAAATTTCAACATAATTTTAAAATGTGCTAAGCAATTTATGATTGTTTATTATTTTAAGTAATAATACTAAATAAATGCTGTTTATTGTTTTAAGTAATAATACCAAAGTAATGATAAACATTAATCTGACTAACAATTAGTTGCTTAAGATAATTTTATCATGTAATCGACTGGTTATGTCCGATTTTCTGATACTTTTAAATATTTTGCTTTAAAACAATTGACAATCTACTGAATAACTTTTATTATATAGTTTTTTAAAAATATCTGTTGTATATTTCAAAAATTTCTTTCGTTATTAACAATATTCCAAAAATTGCCAAATTTCATGTATATTATGCTTATCACCAAACGTGATAAAATTTCTATTTTGCAGTAAAATATAATAAAAAGTTCTCTCTACTGATATTTACAAATTAAACATTAACGACAGTTGCACATTAAAATTCCATTTGAACAACGTTGGAGCATTACGAAAATTATACAAATAACATTTAGAATACAAATAACCGATCAAAGGTGAGCAATATTAATAATATTTGAATTTGTAAGTCAATATAATAAGAAAATTAATCATTTTTAAATTAGAATAATTGTCAAAGACTTTAATAGTTCGTTAATTATCATTATTGTACTAATATCGATGTAACTACATAGATAAAAAATTGGCAGGAAAAGTGCGCAGAACAATCATGGATCTGAAAAGTGTGATAATATTTCTGATCAGTTTAACTATATACGTTAAAAGTCAAACCATTAAAACTAAATTCCCTGCATTCAGAATTCGTCTATTTGAAAGTGGCATAAACGATACTGATTATTCGAATATCTCGAAATGTAACGGGACTACTTATGGTGAGTAAAAAGAAATAAAACTCATACGTATATTTCAAAAAGTTTTGCTTAATTTTAATCAATATGTACGATTTTATGAATATTTGCTGCAAGATATATTATTTTTGCTTACGTCAAATTGAGATTTTTACTTTACTTTACTTTTACTTTACTTTTTTCTTTAATAAAATTCAAATATAAGTATTGGGCTGAATTTCTCTTATTTTTTTATTTTTATATTAACGTTATCTCTTACAATTAGCAAAAAAACGGAATTAACTATTTATTCAACCCAATAACAGCATCGTTAATTTGCACAATTTATTGATTATAATAAAATACTTAATAATTCATATTTAAAAGATATATAATTTTATGTATAAGTTTGCATACAATTCACAACACTTTTACCAAAGCTTTTATGCAGACTATAATTCTCTTGTTATTTTCGTTACATTTTTCCTAAACGACAGATAAACCAATGAATTCAACTGGAGGCGGAAATTACGCGAATATCGGTCAGTTTCCATTCATGGCAGTAGTAAATAATCTTGTGGGTAACATATTATTCAAGCAATGCAGTGGCACGATCATACATACAAAATGGGTTCTCACAGTCGCTCATTGCGTAGAAAATTATCCATTGTTTATTTACCACCAAATGTTTTCTGTGACGTTCGGCATCATCGACAAACCTGGTGTAAAATACGATTTCCAAGGTCCCAGTGTATCAATGATTGCAAACCGAGCCATTATACACCCGAATTACACAAATACACATTTCTACAACGATATTGCCCTACTGCTAATGCCGACTAATATTCCCTTTTTCAGTAAGTGTATATAAATTATTTCTTAATAAATATATCTTCTTTTCTTTCTTTTTTTGCATCTCGTTACACCTTAATATTATTTCATTATTTTATATGAAAATTAAATTGGAAGTAGTTTAAATGACACATGCAGAAGAACTCCGCGATAATCAAAAATCGTATAGCTCCTTTTGTAATCTTTAGTACATAAGGAAAATGCGACCGAATACTAAGATTTTCTTAAAATTGGAAGGAAACGGAAATAATAACAAACAAAGAGTTTTTTTTTGATTACATAGTTGTAATTTAAATGTCAAAATAAAAATAAAAGGCTGATGACGAGATTATCCTCAAATTTGGTACATTGAATCCGATTCGAAAATGTTATCAAAAGAAAGGTTTCATTAATCTGAAGTCAACAAAACAATATAGTTCGGAGCGACTCACTGTTTCAGAGGTAACAGCTCTTAAAAGTTTCAAATGATACTTTTTTTAAGGGACTTTTAGGATTTTGCTCATACTCTAACTTACTCCAAAAATTGATTTTAGTAAAATATGTTTAAATTTTTGCTCTAATGCAGGGTCTCTTGAGTGGTATGTATATACATATATGCCACTGTATATATGTGTTTCACTCGATATACCGTCACTTACTTACCATGCTGCAATATTGATTTTAAGAAATGACGAAAAGTAACATTTTTTTATTTCAGTGACTATTCAACCCATAAAACTTGTTAATACAGATGAAAATTTTGCTCTAAGGCAGGATCTCTTGAACAGTATGTATATACATGTATGCCGCTGTATATATGTGTCTCACTCAATATACCGTCACTTATTTACCATGCTGCTATATTGATTTTAAGAAATGACGAAAAGTAACATTTTTTCATTTTAGTGGCTTTTCAACCCATAAAACTTGCTAATAGAGATGAAAATTTTGCAAATAAAAATGCTTTTGTCTTGGGATGGGGAGGAGGATCGGAAAAGCTTAAATACGCTGAAGTATCGGTTATTCAAAATACTGAATGCAAACAAGCCGGACTCAATACGAGCGACGTCACTGATCAGCACGTGTGCACGGCCACAGGATTGGGAGAAGATACTTGCCACGTAAAATAATCACAAATAATAAAATTATGTTCTTATTCAGCAAGAAAATACCCACAGTTTGCACATAGCGGTGGCATAGTGAGACGAATAGAAAGAGAGAGAGCGTTGCATTAACCGTTGTTATTGACCAGTTGCACGAGCAGTGCAACGCTGTGGAGAGGAAGAGCTTTCTAAAGATTCTGTGAGAAAAAACCAGCATGAAACGGACAAGTTATCGTCTTATTTACTGGTATTCTCTTGCTGGACAGAATATAGTTTGTAATGCTATAAAATGAATCAAGTATGAGTGGAATACTCTGAAAGGCTTACAAATATGAATCAATTTAAATCATTTTAAATAGCTTAAGTAAATGAACTTTAATAGTATCTTTTCCTATTATTATTATTTGATTCTTTATTTTCAGAGCGGTGCCCCTCTCATCGTAGCACCGGAAAATAGCTCGTACCTTCAAATTGGTATTTTGGGTATGTCAACTTGCCGTAGCAATGTGCCTGAAACGTTTATTAGAATTTCTTCGTATATAAAATGGATTCGCGCAGTTATGTTGTTCGAAGAGTTGAAACAGTTATACATAAATAATAACTTAAATACAGTTATACATAAATAATAACTTAAATATTATATGTACAGTTTTAATTTAAAAAATGCTCTTGTAATAAGTTACTTCATTTTAATATCATTGAAAGTATTGTTATTTCAATAATATTAAGATATTAATATTGATAAATATTAATATGAAATTTAATCAAGACTATGAAATGACCAAACAAGGTAGTTATATCAAATGCGATCTAAAGCCAAACTTACTTTAGATCGCATTTGGTATTGGTGCTTTATTTCTTGTGAATCATACAATCTTTAGTTCAGGTAAACTGCGCGCCAAATATTTTGTCGATCTTGAAACACAGCTCCAAACTAAATCCGGACTACATAAATATTACAATTAAAATGGCAAGTAATTTGATAACGATTAATATCGTTCGGGAGTATAATATTAAGATATTAATATCGTGAGAAGCTTTGAAGACAATTATATTCTGTATTCATTTTATTGATTGTGTCAAATGCTACAGAAAATCTTTTTGTATATTTTACTGCGCAATGGCCGGAGATGTCTATGTTTTAGATATGATTATGCGCTGTAATCAATATTACGGCATAATTAAATCAAAGATTATGATATACGTTATATTAGTAACACTTTAACATTAAAATAAAGTAGCTCATTAAAGCATATTTTAATTTGAAAATTTACGTATATTAAACATACACTTTTACATCAAGTTTTAATATAAATACATGTTTAATTATTATCGATTTGTACAAGTTGGAAGGACCAACTCCTTCAGCTTCAGTTCAGTAATCCTTTAAATAAACATATATATTCAATAATAAATAGTGTTCATTTCTTATATCATTTTTTTAAATTACATACCCTCATATATAATATTAAAATTATTTAAAAAAATAATGGTATTAAACTTTTGCTGAATATATATGTATATATATGTATATATATATATATATATATATATATATATATATATAACATTCAAGCCAACGATAAAGCACATTTATTGTTAATGATGTGATCTACCTGACATGCTCGATCGCCAATTTTCGCTAATTCGCGCTCGCGCATGTCAGGAAGGCGCCTTCTAACGACTCTTTAGAGCCGCCAAATGCTTGGCACTCTGGGATTACTTCGAGAATTCTCAATTTATCAAATTTCTATTGGCGATTAGTTGAGAGAGGTCTTGTCTTGTCCTACAGAAAAAAGATGCTGACAATAGTCAACAACACTCGCTCTTTTAGTGAATCATCGCCGAAATATCTCGTCGCTGAGAATCGCCGTTTAAATTTATTCGTTGCGCTTACTTTTTCTTTGTGCTCGTTTTCAAAGCTCTTAATTTTTAAAAGAAATTTCTTTCTGTGATAAAAAAATAAATTTATTTTAATGCAAACGTAATGGAGTCTGATTAATAAATAAACAATGTGTTGATAAAACTTTAAAATTTTTTCTCACATCCAAACTTTATTTCTTTTTGTCGGTCAAACGCGCTTTCGAATATAATAAAAAAACCACATTTCTTGCGATATATACAAAATTGAGTAAGTCTTGAGATAAAATTTAGCACGAAATTTTTTTCATCTGGGTGGACATTTTGCCCCGTATGATAATCAATTACGCGGGGACCGAAATCTCTTCTTTAATTTGTTAGACTCTTTATGCAGATTGCATACGCTACGATTGCAGTGTAACTCTATTTCACCCATCACGTTTGGATACGCGTTGGCGCGCGGATACTCAAAACAATCGAAAAAACTTTGAATACTCGGGGCGCACGTTCTTCCGAAATTTCTGCTCCGGATGTTAAATATATTTCTAAATTAAGTCGCGGCAATTTGAATTAATTTAGATTTTAGAGCAATTAGAAGTAAACAGTTTTATAGCTCGCTTCCTTCTCCCTCTTACTTTGAAATATTGTAATCGTTGTTTATCTATTTTTAAGATAAATTTTTGAAGATTGGCAAATAAACGCGTATTCGTCCGGGCCACCGCTGAATACCAGCGGTGGGGCGGTCGTGCCAGTCGTATCTCGCCGAGCTGCTAGGCATGTGGGGATAGATCTCTATCCCCACACGCTTAGCAACGCGGCGAGATATGACCGTCCCACCGCTGGTATTCAGCGGTGGTCCAGACGGATACGCGTTTATTCGCCAATCTTCAAAAATTAATATCTCGTTAACGATTGCGAATTATTCTAACTATTAGAATATTGTGCACAAAATATTTTTCTCTTAATTTCAGAGGATTCCTCTTGAGGCCATATACAAGAATAAAATCCTCTAAGATTTAACGGATTCCACTAAAATTAAAATTATTTTTTTTTGGGTGTGTTTAGATTTAATGCGAAATAGGCCTAGTCAGGCTGAAAATAGTCGCTTAATGTATTGCTTAAATGCATATCTAAGTAGTTGAACATCCATTAATTTTTTGTTGCTCATCCTTGGCCCATTATTTATCGTGAATATATATGTTTTTTAAGCTTAGGATAGAATTAGATACGAAAACCATTAAGTCCATTGTCCATGTAGCAACTAAGTATCCAATAACTTATTAGTCCTAAAAGTGTTTTATCTACGGCTAAGAATTTTAAGTGTTTCCAATGACTCACTAGCTTTAAGAATTTTTGACATATCTCTGTTCGATATAAATAGAGGACCCTGCGACTGCAGCGACAGTTTGTCGAGGTCCTTACAAGTAAGTACGTACACGTAATTCATATAACAATACGCAAGTAAGTTATAAAAAAAACTATGCATAAAATTATCGAATAGTTATTTTTATACGATCATTCTCGCGAGTCTCACAAGACATTACCCAGTCACATTTTGTTAATGCCACTTCGCTGTCGCCTCACTGATTTAACAAGTCTCGATTATAACATGAAGCAGAGAATATAGTAGATCGTGTACTATTAAGAACAGATTTTTGAGTGTATACGTAACATTAGAATGTCATGAAGAATAGTGTGCACCATATACATGTATAACGCTGATAACGATCGTGTTCAGTGTACGTCAAACATACATAATGTAAAATGTACTGTACCGAAGATAAAAATAAAAGCTGCTTTTTCATCTACCGTAATTCATGAATTTAAAATATCTAATTTTAATTCTATAATAAAATACGTTTAAATCTATAATATAATATAAAATTGATCTAAAATTACTTTTCATGTCTAAAGTTTTTTCCTCTTATTTATTTTAAGTGTATGATATTAACATTTATTATTTGTTATATTGTTAGTACTACAACAATTTTAACAATAATTAATAAAAATTAATTTACGCGGATCCATTAAAATTAATTTGTGTCGTTATAATCTATTTAAAAAAAAATTATTTCAAGACAAACATTTTCAAAGAATTTACTACAGCAGTACATAGAGAGGAAATTTTTTTTTTAAACTTACTTTAGAAATCATAAAATTCATGAACATTCATATTTCAAAAAATTTTATGATTTATTAATATCTACGACAATAAAATATAAAACACATTTTGATAAAAATTTTATCAAAATGCTTGATAACATTTTAATATAATTTTAAAATATGTTAATCAATTTATGTTTGTTTATTATTTTAATTAAAAATACCAAAATACATGCTAAGTAGTGATCAACATATACAATATCTTATAAGTATAATTTTTACAATATTGCATGATATTTTTAATCTGACTTACAATTAGCTGCTCAAGATAATTTTACTATGCAACATGATTATATATTACAATGATTATATAAGACATTCGGTTACATTTAAATATTTTGTTTTAAGATAATTGACAATCTGCTGAATAATTTTTATTATGTGATTTATAAAACGTCTTTTGTATATTTCAAATATTTTTATTATTACCGATAATATTCGAGAGATTGCCACCAAATTATTTCATGCTTATCACAAAACGTTTGTATCAAATTTTCTAATAACAAAAAATTTTCTTTGCGTAAATTTTTAAACAATAAAAAAATACACCGCGTTTGCAAATTATCTAATTGGACAAAATTTAATTCTGTACTTACTAAACGGACTTTATTTTCGTACTTACAAAATGTGCTTCAATTAACGACAGTTGCGACATTCCTTGCGGATTAGAGTGAATATCATTTCATTATATTTTGATATCATTAACCTAATATAAACAAATTGGGCATTACAGACAGTCTCACATTAAAGTTTCGTTGAAGCGAAAATTATACAAAGTAACATCTGGAATACCAACAAGTAACAACCGACCAAAGGTGAGCAATAATGATAATTGAAAGTATTTGTAAGTTGATAATAATAAGAAGATTAATCATTTCTAAGTTACAAAAATGAATCATAATTTTTGTATGTTTTTTGTTCCAAATTTCAATATTTAAATAATTAAAAGTCCTAATTTTTTGCATTTTTGCTTGAACAATGATTAATACAAAATAAATATATATTTTTGTAAAAATATGTAAATAAATCTATCCCTTTAAAAATGTAAAAAAACTTAAAAACAATGTACGTATGCTGGTGTTCTTTATGACATATATACATTTATACAATATGTATTTGTATATATACAATATGTATTTGCAAACAGTATTTTACGAAATTTTTAAATCTATACATCTCTCAGAATAATTAAGCTAAAAGCTTTCATAATTTCATTAATTGTCATAATTGTTCAAATATCGACGCAATTACAGATAGGAAAGTATAAATATAAAATTTCCAGGGACAGCGCAGAACAATCATGGATCTAAAAAGTGCGATGGTATTTCTGATTAGTTTAACTGTATGTCAATATGTTCATAGTCAACCCCCTATCCCGTCCAGACGCACATCTGAAAAAATCGGGGAACTTGAAGACTATCCCGATTCGGACATCGATGATGATCAAATAAAAACAATAATCATACGTATGTATATTTTAAAAAGTTAGTTGATTTTATTAATGCGATTTTATGAATATTTGCTGCAAGTTTATATTATTTTTGCCTACATCAAATAAAGAATTTATCTTTTACAAAATCCAAATTAAGTATTAGGCTGAACAGTAAACTTCTTTTGTTTTAATAAATAAAATATGGGGTATGTGCCAGAGCTGGGTAATTTCAATATAAATTAAAATACAATAAATAATATGATCAATACAGACGTTACGACTCGCATCGGGTCATTCTCAATGCTAAGAACGATAAATTAAACATAAAAATTTAAACGGAAAACAATAATATAAAATCTGTACATTGTTAAAATTTTTGTTAGAGAAAAGTAAAATGTCGTAACAATGCCATCCAAAACCGAATATTCAAGCGCAAATCCTCGAATTAAATCTCGCGCCTAAATATTCGGTTTTTGATGGAATTGTTACGTTAATTTGTACAATTGAATGATAATAATAATAATATAATTTTGAAATAATTTGTATTAAAAATATATATATAATTTTACGTACGACTATCGCGCATAATTCACAACACTTTTATGAAGACGATAATATTGTCATTTTTGTTACATGCTTCCTACGACAGATAAACCAATGAACTCAACTAAAATAGCAAGCGAAAATTACGCAAAAATCGGACAGTTTCCATTCATGGCAG